AAAATGCAGACCGAGACCAAAACTGTTCCTTGGACTTGATATACTTTCAACATTCCAGAGTGTACACACGGTGATTTTCACATATGTGCCTTTTATTGTAATTGGCTTACATGAGGAACCAGCAAATTTTTATTGGGCAAAGCGTTGCTTTCATGACAGGCCATTTGTTTACTTTTCTGGTGGATTTATCTCTCATCTGTTCAGTGACTATGCAAATATTAATATGCGGAAATCAGACCATATGGAGGCTTGAAATTCGATTAAGAACAATTCTGGCCACTTTGTTAAAAACAAAAGACATTAAGAAACGGGTAAGGAATATTTTACAATAGTGCAAATGATTGTAAAAGAGGAGGGTTAGTAATATTTTGCTGCTAGAGCAACATTTGATGCCTGATTATGATCACCCAGCTCACCCTCCGCCCCACAAGCCATGACATGAATTAGCTGGCTCGAAGAGCCCTTTGATTTCGTTTCCCAATCTAAGATATACGGGAAAGATTAGTAACAGCCCTTGCCTCTTATTATAGTTTAAAAAAATGAGATAGTTATCATTTTATTTAGTAGTTTTCACTTTTTAAATCCAAGTGATCAGTGGAAAATTGTAGCTTGTGTCACAGTCTTAATTTTTTCCTTGTTAATTGATGCCATTCGCATTCTCATGTAAATGGATAACTTTAATGTGCCCCCTTACCAGGATTAGAAATGTTATGGAGTAGTTGGAGCAGTTGATTAAGTTGAATTAGAATTTTATCTATTAGTCTTCTTCACATTTGGTGCAGGAACCAATATCATTTGGATGAAGTGGCGGTTCAGATTTTGGGTTGAAATTTTAGTTTTGTTTGGAACGAAAATCAAAGCTTATTTGTTGTTTTGATCTCAGTGATAGTACATTTATCTCACTTTTTTTCCTTTACGGCATACATTTGTACCTATCCTATATGTGATCCTGCAACTGCAAGATTTAGTCAAGTATCTTGATGATGTGGCCTTTCTCTAGCAGACATGTAGTCTTGAGTGCATTTCTCATAATCTTGTTTTGTCTTATTGGATTACAAATATGTTTAAAAATCATACAGCATTTGAAAGAGTGAGCCCTGAGTTTATCCTCTTAAAAAAGGGCTCTTACAAACTGTAAGAAACCAATTTTGCTACAGTCCACCCTCCCTTGAAACCAACTATTGTAAGAGACAACCTCTCATCAGTAACCTCTTTTTCAAAATGCCAAAGGTTCCAAGTCAAATCACTATAAGTGGAACCTTTCATAAGGGGCCACCTCTCGTAAGTGACCAATCTAAGAGATCCTTATTTTCAATATTCATTTGTTTGAACCTCCGGTAGGCAACCATCGAACAGACAATCTGATTAATCTCTCGCAAGTGGGAGTGTTACCCAAAATAGCTTTACCTCTTGACTGAAGTAACAAATGAGCCAAGTTTTAAGTTTCTTTCATGTGAATTGTCCCAAACGCCGCATTAACTAATTTCTGGGATACATCTTAATCATCATACATCCTAAGATATTTTTTCCCTTGAATAAGCTGCTGAAAGCTATTACTATAGCTTTCGAGAAGTGCTGACAAAATGTGCCGGTCACCATTTGTAAATTACCTGAAATATGTTCCCCCTCTCCATAAGCGATAACCTAGACTTGCGTATTTCAGGTGGTTGATTACAGGAGGTTTGACTTTGTTAAAATCTATGTACTACATTTTTAAAGTTCAAAATCTATGCATACAATATACCCAAAAATGGCTTTGAAATACAAAAAAGTTAGACGAAGCAGACAATAAATTATATAATCAACTAATGTCCAACCATAATTTCACAAAAGGTTGTTGGGCAACTTGTTCCTTGATGATCCTCACAAAAAAAGAGTATTTGAAGGCATTCAATTATTGCATATTTCACACGAATCTTGAATGAATTTCTACAGTAAATCTAGTACTGCTATTGCTGTACTTGAAATAGTCATGAGAGTTAAGGTAACTTAATTTAATAACTACCTTATAACATTTCACGAAAGGGAAGTACTCTCGTAAACACTCAAGTGTGCTCCAACCCAGTAATTTGCATCTCTCTTTGTATGAAATCTGTTGTGGTTTTTGGCCAAGAGCTATTGTTGATGCTCTTCATTATATGTTTTCAATGGCTAGATGTAGTTTTTCTTTAATCAAATAGGGTGACTGTACTGGACATGCATATTCTAGGAGAGGTCTTACTAGTGATCTATAAAGCTCTGAGGGGATTTCTCTGTGCCTTCTGCTAACTGTATGCTTCAGAAGGCCAAACATTTGTTCTTATTGTTTGCTGACACATCCGAGCAAATTGACCAGAATAAGTCTCTTGACATGATGACACATAGTTCCTTGTAGAAGTCTACAGATTTTTATTGTACGTTTTACAGATGGTTCTGATGTTTACTTTCATCCTGCTTGTGGGTGATTCTCTTAACATCGCATTTTTGGGGTTGAAGTTAACTTGCCAACTCCTTCTTCAGTTATCAAAAGAGTCCAGGCCCTACTGCAGCACTGATACGTCATTGTCATAGCTTAGTTGGCAATAAATGTTGTGATGCGGATTGTTTTGTATTTTATTTACGTAAATGAAGAACATGATGGGTGCAACGATAGACTCTGAGGCACTCTTGTTTTTTCAGTTGACCAGTTGGGTTACAGGGTAGACTCACTGTCTGTTGTCTGCTCTTCAAAAAGTGTCTAAACCAAAACATTATGGAATCATCAATGCCATGTCGATTAAGTTTGGGTAGTAAGTACTCATTAGGTACTTGGTAACTGGTCAAGTTGCCTAAAAGTCATCTGGCTTATGTCATTTCACCCAAAACAAGACTCATGTCAGCCATAATTTTTTGTTATGTCGCTCGAAGAAACAGTGATTTATAAAATCAGACTTAAAGACTGCAAGTTGGCAATAAAGTTAAGACATCTTTTTCACTTAAGCGATTTTCATTTTGGACAACACCATGAAGACCTTGGCAACACAGAAAACAATCAGATGGACAGAATTGAAGTATGTTTGAGTAATGACTAAAAAAGGATTGTTTTTTTCTAATGCAATTGTACCCATGGACCTTTCATACTCAGTCCTTTCATACCCAAATTCAGAAGATTCGTACATAGTTTGAGTCAGTTTGGGTAGATTCACACTTGTCAAAACATCCAGTGTTGATGAAAACTGTTGTAAAAAGATGTCAATTCCTGTTGATGACAAGGAAATAAAAACTCAAGTGTGTAAGTTAAAAATAAATAATACGCCATTTTTACACGCAGTGAAAAAATTGTGAGACATAAGTCAGGATTTTGGTCAACATATTTGCAGTAGAATTAATTTCCTTTAGTTTAGGATTTCAGATCATGGGTTGATTTAAGGTGGTGCCGAAGGCTTTTGTTTCAAATATTTGCGGACAGATTATGTGGAAGGACTTGAAATTTCCATATGTGATGTATATGACTCTACACATAATCTGAGAAAAAAGCCTTTTATTTTGCTCAGTGCCATGGGATTCGTGGAATTTGATGGAATTAAGGGGTGTGTTCAAAACGCGTTTTATTTTTCGACCACGACTTGGCAGGTTACCTCACCTACCTGGGGTCCCCCACCTCCATGTAATCAGGCCCTTACATGGCAAATTGTCACCCCGACTGACAGGGTTACCTGGCAGACCGGGCAACCCGCCTAGGCGGGTCACCCCAACCACCATGTAAACTTGATCAAAATAAAATAAGAAATTATAGGGAAAGGCGGGTTACCCCACCTAGGCGGGTTACCTCACCTATCTGAGGTCCCCTACCTCCATGTAAACAGGCCCTAAAACAGAAGCAAGTATTAATTACAATATAGATACTTGGGAACCCTGAATGCCAGCGGTCAGAGGCCGATCGATTTAATATTACAAAATCGATTTTATTTCGTATTTATCGCAGAATTTGTGGAGCGATTGCCAACAATCTTTCCGGTCAATATAATATATAGATTTAGCGTAAAAGCGGAGCTCGCAATTTTTTTCCCACACGTCTTAAGGGCACGACGCCTTGCCCAGCCAGAACTAGAACCCGGGTCGTCCGACTCAGAGCCCAGTGTATGACCACTGGACTATACTGCCCGCGGTATATGAATTACCTACTCGTTTGAAATTGAGCACCGCTGGGCAAATAGATCAATTTTGCATCCTTCGCCCAAAGGAACGCGTTGGATTAGTGATGCAACGATCTGTCGTTAGATCACGCAGATCAGTGATCCGATGAATCTTTGTCCAGAGTGGATTTGATAGATCACTGGTCTGAAAATGGATTTGCTCGAAAGGAACGCCACAGATCAGAAATCCTGATCCGGATTCTCCCAAAGGAACGCACCCATAGTAAAAACGACGCGTTTCGAATGTCTACTTTATTCCCTTGCGAATCACGAAAGTGGTTCGGGGTCGATCGAAGGAAATACTCTCACATCTTTCTGGTTCAGGGAACAATTTTGTAGCTTTACTTTTAATGAGCTTCAAATATTTGTAATGGTGACAGATTATAATCATTATTTTCTTTTTTGTTCTGTTTTATTTTGTCTGTGCGACCAACCCTGGCCGCGGAAAAAGGTGAGTCTGATTATGCCCGATTTTATGTACAAGTTTCTGTATTGAGGACTGGGTAGCTCTATCTTACTTTTGCTGTGAATAACCAATCGGAATTGTAATTTGAAAGCTTGTGAAGAGGGGAGAAATATTCAATATTAATTATCCGGTACTTCTTTTAACCTTGCATGAGCAGAATTTGTATCCACATCTTTTTCTGAACGAGTACTTTATTACACATTGCAGCCTGTTAACTTTCGTATAGGTAATGAATTGTTAAACACAAAATTGTGAAAAAAGATAAATTGAGTTCTGACTGAATTACAAATGTTTCCTGACCATAACAGGAGTACAGAGGCAGATTCTTTATGATGAGATCATGGAAAAAAAAATGTTTGAAGTTTATCACGCATTTTGATACCGTAGGTAGTGTTGTTGGTGCAGTGTTTGGATCAGTTGCTGCACTGGCTGTTGCTGGAATATTAGTTTGGTGGACTGGCAGGAAAAAGAGGGGCAACAGGAAAGGCACTGAAGGTAAGTGTTGCATACATGTTATGCTCTCAAATGATCACTAGTTTTGGCATCCTAGACATAGATATATCTTTAATACAATTCTTTTCTTCTAGGACTAAGTACAATCTTGCGTTCACTATCCGCTGCATCATGATCTTTGCTGAAGCGATTTCTATATTTTTAACAGATAACTTTTATAACAGTGTATTGTAAACTAATAATTTGTATTTTTGTTATCTATTTTGTGGTTAGCTAGTTACAATTAAAAGACCTCGCATGACGTTGAACACTTTAAGACTCAACTTGATGTACATAAAACAGACATGACTTTGCTTGTGAGAGATAAATTTTGGTTGAAGTTGGTTATTTATTGTATTTTTTGTTTGTTTGTTTTGGTTTGCTTTTTATTTTTCTGTTTGCTTCCTTTTTTTTTACCACAGAGGTGGCGATGAGTGGAAGGTGAGATTTTTTAACGAATTGTTGCTCTCTACTCGCGTTGTTCCCTTATGGCTCGATCGTTTTAACAATTTTAACAGCCCTGTTTTTTATGTGAATGTTTGTGATTGATCCAAGGACCACTAACTTCAAGGCACTCTTGCGCAACAGAGATACCACTATACACTTTTAGACAATGAATTTAGTAGTTATCCCCTGTACAATAATTGACATTTTAATGATCTGTAGAAAAACTGAAAAAAAAAATTAACAACAACAACAACAAGAACAGCAGCAACTTTTAAGTGTATGTAAGTTAAGTTTATTATCTTATTATCACAAATAAGAAGAAGTTCAGGGCAAGTCTACCCTGCTCATAAGGTCTGACTGTAGGAGGAGGGTACGGCTACAGGTAGGCTATGACTGTAGCTGAGCCTTTATCTGGTTTCCAGCTGCTTTTCTGACTGGACTAAGCTGTCTGGAAAGTTTTTCTGTAATTTAGGATTTTAAAGTTAGAGAGAATTGGCTTTGTTTGGTAATATATTTGATTTGCTGTTTCAGAACATTTGGACATTCAAGTAACGAAACAAGAGGAAGTACCAATGTAGGTTATGCGATGAAATCTTATACGTTCATATATAGAGACATTTTCCTGTAGTTGTAGCTGTATTTTGTTTTTACGTTGCTCTCTTTACTGAGAGTCTTCCCATCGTGGTTTACAGTTTACCCGAACCCAGAAAGTTATGATCGATACAGATTTTAAGTCGATTATTCATTGCTATTTTCAGATAAGTCTAAGTAAATAGTGGTTTATTTTTCATAAGACAGCTGGTTTGAAGATTTGAAATAGTTTCCAAGCAAGTTGGGTAGTTTATCATCTTTTATTGAATTGAAAACAATTTTGTCTTTTAGATTGCAGTTGAATTGCCTAAACCTTCTCAAAGCCATTACATGGTACTGGCTGAGAGAACTCGTTCACAAGTGATGGCAGATGCCAGTCCGCTTAGCGCTGAACAATTCAGTGAGTACGCTTCTCTTAACCCATACACACGCTCCTGGGAGACTCCTAGAGAACATGTGATGATAGAGCACATTGTTGGAAAAGGTGCTTTTGGTCAGGTTGCCAAGGCAACAGCCGTTAACCTACAAGGAAGAGCCAAGAAGACGCTCGTAGCAGTTAAAATGTTGAAAGGTACCAAGTCATGTTTTACTTGGTCTTTGAACTGACTTAGAAGTCTGTCCAAATTGCTCCGTTTTGTTTTATATTGTTTTATTTTGATTTTAATTATATGCTTCTGCATAATTTCCAAGTTCCTGTTTAGAGTAATCACACTCTATATGACCAGTCCACAGTTATGTCTATAGCTTGAAGCTTGTTCTACTTGATGTAACGATGGAATTTTAAGATGTGATTTAAATAAACCCCCTTTAATAATGGTTACATTTTAGAGCCACGGCGCTTTACGTTAACGAAGAAAAGCACCTCAAATATGGTGTATGATAGAGTCGAATCTATCTATCTATCTATCTATCTATCTATCTATCTATCTGTCTGTCTGTCTGTCTGTCTGTCTATTTGTATGCCTGTCTATCTATCTGTCTATCTATCTATCCATCTATCTATCTATCTGTCTATCTATCTATCCATCTCTATCTGTCTATCCGTCCAGCTATCTGTATATCTGTCTCTATCTGTCTATAAATCTGTCTATGTGTCAGTCTATCTATCTATCTATCTATCTATCTACCTGTCTATCTACCTATCTACCTGTCTATCTACCTATCTACTGATAGATAGGTCTACGTTTACCTGTACTATGCTACGGTTGAACGATATGATTGTGATTTATTTGAAATGTTATTCAGCAATGATTGATCGGAAATCCTGTTGCAGAAAACGCTTCTGAATCAGAGAGAAAGGATTTGCTGGCTGAACTTGAATTGATGAAACAACTTAAACCTCATCCTTACGTTATCAAACTTCTGGGATGCGTTACCAAGTCTGGTAAGTACTGAAATGTTTATTAGGGCCATTCCATTTCAGAACTGCTTAGATGGTGAAATTTAAAATATCTCATATCTAGCCCAATGATGGAATGAAGAGACCCTAAATTGTTTTAAAAATAGTAATCTGAAAGTTGACTTTGCGGGAATGGCAGAGAGAGGCTGTTTATTTTTGTCCAATGAAAAGTGTGTGAAAATAGCTGGCATGCTGTAAGATTTAAAATGATTTTAGTAAGACATTTATTCTCAAAATCTTACCAGGTGAACTAAACTAATTGAACTTAACGCAAAGGTGAATTTTCTGGTAAGATTTTTTCCGAAATAGGCGTACTTTGTAAATGAGAGCAAGTAACAATTTTGTTAGGGACAGAACGTAATGTCCGTAACAAAAACAATCTTTTTTTTTTCATTTTCTCTGAAAATAAACACCAGTTTGGCCCTTTTTTTTAGTTTTTAGGGGCCCAAACTGAAGTGCTGTAAATTATCAAAATCCTGGAAAAACACCGGAAAAATGAAGCCTACTTTATGTTACGGACATTACATTATGGACATGATGTTACAGAAATTACATTATCGACATTATGATTAAATGACTTTTATTATAGTAATTCTTTTGGAAGAAATAAATGCTACATGCAAACCAATTTTGTCAAAATTTATCACATCTAAGTTAACAGTGCTTTTAACTGAACACTAATAACAATAACAACAACTGTACATTAACAGTTGCAACACCTTGGTGACATGAGTGCTTTTAGAGCATGCAATCATTGTAATTAGCTGTTGTTGCCTTTTTTAGTTCACAGAAAACTCAGCATTTTATTCATTTAATCAGTTCAACAACAAATGACCGCAAAAAAAATGAATTTATGTAATTTTTCCTTGATTTAACAGAAGACACAAATGACCTTTATAAAGCAGTGATCATATCTTACAAAAGTGGTAAATCTCTAAAAGACATGCCTGTAAGAGGAAAGCTATTATTTGAAGGCTTTGATATTGTGACACAATCTCAAAAAGCACATTGGAAGTCTGTGCAGGCCTATTTTTGACTTCCTTTTTACTTAACAGTAATACACTTGTAATTGCTCTAAGGGAAATGATAACTGCAACAGTGTTACTATGAAAACAGTGAACACCTACATGTAAGTATAAAAGACATTGAAAGGTTTTGTGCAGTGATCAATTCAACCCCTAGTTGAGCCATAGGAGAAAGGCTGCACAAAACTAATTTTGTTAAGGTTTACAGTCTCTTCATCTTCCATGTGACTGGTGTTCTTTCCAACAAATAGCTGCTAAAAGTTTCTATTGTTTCACTGTCAAATAGCATTACAATGCAATAACAGCCATTGTCTTACATAGTGGATGTCTAGGAAATAACAGATTTCTAGTGCCTTCAGTTACTGCATGTTACTAGATTATTACTAAAATATGACTGACATTAGAAAGCAGAGGTGAATTTGTGTCACTACATTCTATCACTAAATGTTAACAGTACATGACTCCTTCGGCCCCTACTACCCATGAAAACTGTAACCAAACTCATTCCAACAACCATAATTGCAAGCGAGAGTTACCCACTTTCGCTCGCGATTATAGGCTAGTACAAAATGCTTCTCCTGCTCACAAGTACCTCTGTCTTAAAGCCTTTACGGTTCCCCCCAAATGTTTTGTTAAGCTTCCCCGCAACTTCACTCCTAGGGAGGCCAGAGAACTTCGAAAAATCACGGAGGAGACGATTTCTATTAGTGTATTTAATCATATTTTTCTCCACTAATACTCCAAATGTTGAAGGTGCCCCTTGCACGGACTTCATTAAAATCTCAAACATCTCTTGAGGGAGGTCACGCTTTACCTGTATGGTCCAGGGATTTGAAGCCTTCGGGTTTGCGGACATTCGCCTTCTTATCCTATTTAGCCACATCAGAACTTCTGATGTGATCATGGGCCAAGCTGGGATGGAAGACATTAGAGCGTTGTCCTTACCATGGACTCCATCTTCGTGCCGGTGGTAGACATTCGTTAGCAACTGACGGGCTGCCTCCTTAAAATCCGAAAAATTCGACATGGAAGGCCGTAGAACATTAAATTTACTCATCGACCTCTCCAACACATCCGCGAAACTAACTTCTAAGCCTTCATCTTCTTCGATTTCCACACTTTCCACAGAAACTTGTTCGATAATTTGTTCGCGAGAGAAGCGTTCTCTTCTAGCCGCCCTTTTGTTTTGGGAAAGTCCGCTGATTTGACCGCGGTAGCCAAGTGCGGACTTTTTCGAGAAGGCTGACCCGGCGTGCATAACTTTCCAAAATAGTGTCAACTGGCTTATTAAGATTCAATGAATAGTACTCTGACAATGATTTCAGTACAATCCAAGTTCATTCATTAAAGCAATGTTTAACTTAACTTTTAGTTTGAGTAGTTATTTGAAAACATTTTCTTTTTGAAAATATTTAAACAGCCTCTCAACATATGAAAGACTTGGAACATTGAAAGGTCTAGTGCCTTTTAGCTCTATGGAGCCATAGAAGACTCTTCTCTGTGGACAATATCAATATTGCTCCTCAGAGGCCTGTTAAATGTTTCCACAACTTGGCAAAGAAATTTGTTTTCAACCCCATTATCAGTAACCCTATGGGCTCTTCCAATGGAAAACTTGGTCTCATACTAGAAATCTAATCTGCACTGTATCTCAGAGAGCAAGAACCAAAAGACAGCTGACACACTAGTTAGAGCCTCCTCAATAAAATTGATTTGTAAGGAGCATACACTATATGGGATACTCCACAGACCACAATCACATGTACACACAAACTGTAGTATTTCTGTTATGGTTATCAGCACAACCAGAAAAGAGAATTAACTTGTAATTGAACCTGATTAAGAATACATTTATCACTTCTGACAAATCTATTATCAAATGTTCATGAATTAACAAAAACATTCCCTTATTCGTACCGGTGTCAAAAGAAGTTTCACAGTGCAATGTCCGTGACAAAAATTTGGTAATGTCCGTAACTGCAAGTTTTTACCTCGAGCTCAAAATCTAACTACAGAATAAGGGATACAACTAGATTTTAAAGATCCTTGAAGCAGCTTTGTTCTTATTGTTATTATATGATATTTGTCTGAATAGTCAATTCACAGGAAAATAAGTGTCAAGTGAACACATTAAATTGTAGGTTGACTTTTTTTATAATGTCCGTGACAGAGTTTCAAACAAAAATATTGGCAGCCTCTGTTAAAGAAAAGAAAGTTTCTTCTCTGCTGATAGTGAATTAAACTGTGGGTGATGTTTGAACAAATTATAAATTAAAAACTGCGCAAAATAAGTTTGTTTAGAGAATTAGTTTCGAAAAAATTGGAAAACAAAATTTATTTAAGGGAGGGAATATTGCTGTTTAAAATAAGAGACCGACTTTACTTATAAGATACTTCACATATAAAACATACCTTATCAATTTGGGTACGAAACAACCCAACTGACTGGGTACGAAACGACTCGTAACTTCGGGTAAAAGTAGACAACGAGTACTCCGTCCTTTATCGGCGAAGTAAAAAAAATCAGCGGAAATAAAAGTGACCCAGGAAGTGATGGGTAGAGACGCTACTTTTCGTATGCCTCACACCCAGAGGTCCGCACGGCCCTCTTAATCCAGGTCAAAGTAACTGTCTTGAAATTGTAGGGTACCTTGTTTACTCGATTGATCACCGCAGCGTTTATAACGTTTTTGTTGATTTTGAGGAGGCCTTTGTTGGTATAGTTCATTTAATTCACCCCGTCATTTCATTATCCATTATTTCCATTTCTGTTAGCTTTTGGGAAAATCGGCTGACCGACACTTAAAGCTTGAGCATATTCTATTCTTGTGTGCACGTGTGAGGTCTCGATGGAGTTTATCTGACAGCAAAGAAGTAGTCACAGTTGTATACTGTCCGCTAAATCGCAGCGTATGTATTATCAATAAGTGTGATATAAGATCAGCAAAATTTACTGGTGGACCAAAAATGGGCCGAGACCAAAACTGCGTGCTTAAGATTTGCACACGTTGCGGATATGAGCCGGTCAGATGTGAATACTCTACAAGGGCGGGAATCCTTTCGGTAGTAGACCATGAAGACAAAACGTGACCTACTTTAAATAAAAGTCTAATACGATGTCAGTTCAGTGGCATCGACATTTTACCCCTTCACAATTGATCTTCTGAGTTAAAACTTCTGGTTACATTGCATATTGTGAATATTACCGAATCATATGGTGGTTGATATTTTATTTTCTTATAAATGTTGAATAAATGTCGTACTTTTCCAAGTGGCTGTTGTATTTGTTATCTAATCCTTTTTTTGTCTCCCTAGAGCCACTGTTTGTGCTGATCGAATATGTTCCTTTTGGGGATCTGCTGGGTTACCTGAGAAAGAGCCGTGGATTGAATGATACGTACTACAAAGACCCGGAGATTAAACCACAAACAAATTTGACCTCAAAGCAGCTGATTAAGTTTGCTTGGCAAATCGCTGATGGAATGTCCTATTTGTCATCGACATCAGTGAGTGGTGTAATAATTCTTTGAATGACGTTCTTGCTTTGTTACTCAATTTACCTCACTTTTCATTGAATCATGGACTCATTGCCCAGGATGTCATCTCATGTCAGCTGAGTCACCCTCAAGTCTCTCGTTTCGTTAAAGGGTATTTTCCAAAAGAAACATTTTCTCTTTGTGTAAGGTTATTCATAGAGATCTTGCAGTTCGTAATGTATTGGTTGGAGAGGAGGAGACGTGCAAAGTGACGGACTTTGGAATGGCCAGAGATGTACAGGAGGACAATATTTACGAAAGAAAAACCAGGGTAGGAATGATTTAAAGAAAACATATGATGTTCTTGTAAGCCTGAAGATGCTTCACTGGAGTGACTGCTCAAAGAAAACAGGCTCAGTAAATCCTGTTCCGTTTTCAGGAACTTTCGTTGCAGTAGTGTCGCCATAGGGATCATTCGTACTTTTTAGGGACTACGCCAACTCCTTGCATTTCCGCTTCTTACTCAGGGGCGTCTCCCTGTCAAATGGACTGCCATTGAGGCGTTGCTCTACGGAAAATATTCTACCAAGAGTGATGTGTGAGTACAAGGAAGACATAAACACTGCAGTAAGGCTTAATGAGAATGGTTTTGTATGAAGTGTTTTAAGGTCAGCAAAAGGTTATTTGATTACTTTTGTATCTTGGTCTTTTTATTTTGCTGGTGTGAGGTCATCTTAGTAAGGGATGGTTATCCTCATTTTTAGGGGTAGTGACCGGGGATCAACTCTTATGACCTGCTGACTGTGCATGTGTCCCTCCCACACTCCATCCTCCCTTCCCTTTACTACTGAAGATGTTTTAATTACTTTTTTTACAGGGAAGAAATGTTTTGCTTCCTTAACTTTATCCCGTTCGTTTTATAGGTGGAGCTACGGTGTTCTCCTCTATGAGATTTTCACGATTGGTAAGTTACTAAGATTACCTGTCCAGTAATTTTAGCCTCAGCAATTGAGGGAACAGGAAGTCATGAAGTAAGCAGGGTGTACCAGTCCCTGTAGAAGTGGTTTTTGGTCTTACCAAGCCAGCTTAGATTGCCACAGTCGCTGGCCTTAGCGGGAAAAAAATTCAATTTTTTCCGGCTAAGTAGTATAAATGGAAATACATCTGTAGAGCTTTTCATTTTAGCGTATGTTAACATTACCTGCTCTATCCAGGTGGCTCACCGTATCCAAGGATGGATGGAAGAAAAATTGCAAACTTGCTTCAAGAGGGATACAGAATGCCTAAACCACAACATGTGGATGATAAGTTGTATGTTAATATCGTGTTATTGTTTTCGTGATGGCTTTTATCCTACAGTAGTATTTGTCCTGCTTTTTGTTTGAGTTGCATGTGGGCCTCGAGATTAAATCATCTTTACTTGCTGGACCAGCCTAACGAAGGGAAATGAAGGAGGAAGTACACCATTACGAGTTGATCTCTGTTGCATAAATCTTTTGTCCTTTTTTATAAAATGATGGGATTTTTTAACTAAAAAGCTTGTTCATTAAGGATAGGTCGAATTGTTTCGTATTAAACTTTTTTTTGACGTCCTTTTAGGTATGACATAATGACAAAATGTTGGAAAGACGACCCTAACTTGAGGCCATCTTTTAAAAATTTGAGGAACGAACTCAAAGAAATGGAAAACCAACACAAGGTAGAATTGTAGAGTTTACAAAGAGACACTCTGTTTGTTTTTTTTCTTCTCAAAGTTTGATTGTTGGAATCTGCTACCATCAACTTAACTTGATAACGGCGTAACCATGAAGGTTTCGAAGCATAGTTTATGGTTTTAATCTATTTCGCTTTTGGAGCAGTTTTCAATTGAGTTTCGAAAGTGGAAATCGAAACTGAAAACAAACTAATCCCAGCTTGGTCACACACGTTTTTCCGCGCTTCTAGGGGATTGCCTGATTCCACTTTGGGTTCTTATTGGTTAATGTTGATGTTAACCTTTGTTCTGATTGATAGATATGAATACTTTGGGTTTAGTCTTTCTAGGATTAGGGTTATTTGGTTTTTCGACAATCAATTTAAAACTTCTATATCTAAAATTAATTGTATCAGCCATGTACTCTCTTTCTAGGTTAAGAAATAAACACTTATCCTCGAAAGCTTAACAAATGATGGTATAATTTATACCCATTTTTCGTATTTCTCTTGTTTCTTATTTTCACAGAGGCTGATAAACTTAAAAAATTATGATGATCGACTCTACGTTAATGTTGACGATCTCGCCGTGTGAGCGAGTGGAGCCCTATGGCATCATCTTTTTTCCTTATATATTTTACATTTACACTTATTTTTTGCTGAGTAAGTAACCCTTTAAAACAAGCTGTTTGACAGCGAAGCGACGCAAAGTGCAGCTTTTGTATGTTCTTATATATTTTTAAAACTTTTAGTCGCAGAAAGGCAAACGATTTTGTATTAACGAGTTTAAGAGCTGCAACCCAAACTTTTCCCTCTGGCGTTATAGATTTTTTTAACGAGTTGTTCTTGTACACAAATAATGTATTTTATTTCGAAATGTGCTTACGAATTCACACAAAAAATATTCCAATGTTGCATCTGCTGTCTCTTACGTTACATTTTGAAATTTGGCGCATGAATGCTTTTGTCGTAAAAAATTCCTTTATTGATTAACGTTTCGTGATAGGGAAAACAGTCATATTTTTTGAACCAGCGATTTAACCATGTTTAGATTGTGTTCATTAAGAAAAGTAGGTTTTTCGCCATGTCCTTTTTAATTTCATTGCAAAATTTTAAATTTTATGAAGCTTTCTAAATGGTTGCTGTGGGTGTACAATGGCCTAGTTATTCTGTAAAAATAAAGAAAAACAATTTAAAAAATGAAAGGGCACTTAGTTTCTATCGATTTTAATAATCCCTTGACATATTCTTTGGTTTCACTTGGAATTTCTGACAATTTTCAAACTTCTTAAGAGTATCAGATGTTTGCGAAAAAATTTTAGGCGATTCCAAAAATTAATTCGTTTTTTAGGGAATAAATTCTCCGGGCTTGTGCATACTACAATATCGCTTGGTTGTCTACGCTAAGAAATTCTACGCTTCTGATCAGACTGCCGGTGTCACAGCGGATCTGCCCCCCCGTCCAAATTCGCTAGCGGATATGGACCCCCCTTCGCACATTTGGACCCCCCCTATCAAACTTTCCTTTTAAGCATCGTTTGTATCATATTTGGCAACTAATTCTATTTGCAAGTTTTTTGCCGATGTTCTTTTTCATCACAACACAACATTCCTCAATAAAGGTAAAGAGCTCGTAAAAACTAAAATACAATAAATTAAAATAGGTCATTACTATACAATATACGCTAATCAAAATGTCCTAAACTGGAACACGCGGGGTGTGTACACAGATAAATCAAAACATCACAAATATCCTTAGCGAAACAAAACTACCTTTGATTATGCATGTTTCGGTTTATAAATGCAAAAATAAACAAGAAAACGTACCTCTTTCCCCGTCCTATTATACTAGTATTTTGACAATCCTTCGATCTGGGTATGCTTGCGACTAACACTTGTATCGTGACCGAATGAAATATAATACCGACAATTCGAATGCATGTCACACAAAACAAAAGGGTATTAAAGGTCACACAAATCACAACTAAAAATAGCCTTCGTTACAGTCTGAATACCTCAACAAAGTTCTCTTCAAGCTTAAGGCCTCCGGCCAAGGGTGATTTCGTAAAAAGACGCTTCAAACGGCCTGTAAAGGCCAAAACATATTAAAAACGCGTCGATTTACTTTTCATTTAACTTAATGGAGATATTCAGACCGAGATGCAATTTTCAGAGCTTTACCCATACGCAGTGACTAAATCCCTGGCAGCCGGGCACGGTCTCAAATAGACTAAATGCCCGGCAGTAAAAACATTTCACGCAATTTTCACCGAAAGTTTCTTTCAAACTTCTTAAGAGCATCAGAAGTTTGTTAAGAAAGTGATTCCAAAAAGTAATTTGTTTTTTTAGTGGACAAATTCACCGGACTTGTGCATACTACAATATCGCTTTGTTGTCGACACTACGAAACCAGCCTGACCTCCCAAGCTTTATAACATGTTTATGTACTTCAAGCTTGATCATTGAAAAACCAACGTAATTTATAGCATCGCTTTACATTTCTAAGCAAACATCTGATACTCTTTAGAAGTTTGAAGTAACCTTTCAATGACATTTTGATAAAAATTTTTGATTGCCGGGCATTTAGTCCATTTGAGACCGTGGACCCCCGGTCCAAATCTGCTAGCGGATATGTACCCCTCGGTCCAATAGATCAGAATAGAAACATTTTTACTTATCATAGGCTTTACGACTTCTAGTTGGAGTTGTTACTTTGTACTTGTGTCAAGTGATTAATAAACCAATTGAGCTTTGATAGACGCTTGGAGGTCCATTAATATAAAACATTTCTCCGACGCGGCGTTGTTCAAGCTAGATTCGATTTGTGTCAGCGTCTGCCCCGTTACACAGACCGAAGTGTAATCTAGATATGCAACTTTCAGAGCTTTATTCATAACCCTCATAGAATTTGTTCGTCTCATGTCAACAGTTATTAGCCACGAACACACAAAGCTTTATTTAGACGGCGTCGCCAAAATCTGGATCGGACCGGATCGGATCACGGATGATCATGGATCGGACCATGTTAAATAAAAATTAGAAATTATGCGAGGCAAGCCTGCGTGACAAATTAGAGCGCGGGCCCTACTTGAAAGTTTTTACCGGGATACCTGTGGTAGCCCAGTCATAAAATGCCTTTGTTTTTTTGTCTTTTTTTTTTTTTCCTCCGCCACAAAATGGAAAGATTGCGCAATCGTACCCAGTGGTCATTGGGCCCTCAACACCATGACAACTAACTGTGATCCAATGAGGTGTTCACATGCTGATCACGCGTGTTATCTTGATGATGATTGACGTTGTCATGCACGGACAGGGCCGGGTCACATGACGAACACGAGATTTTTGCTTATAAAACTCTTTTGTTAGTCGTTTTGTATTTCAAAGTGTTTGGATTACGATCATTTGGAGCACTATGGCGCAAACGCACAAAATACTTATAGACGCATACACAATTCGTATTGTTCGCGGCCAATCCACACTAAAAGATGTTCTTGAGCGGTAATTTTGGAACGGACTGAGTCGCGAACGCTTGAAAGCCATGAAAGCTTTGAATGCCTTGTATGCCAAGTATGCCAATGTCTTAGTTGAAAACGTACACTTGTTGTAAAAAGCAAAATCTGAAATCTGAAACCAAACTGCATATACTGTATGCAATTTATTGAACAACACTACTACCGTGAGACTGAACAACAAAACTCTAATGGATGCAAACTGCTGGTGAAGAAGACGCCATGTTGGATTCACTTAATGCCAGGGAACGTAGCTACGATAACAGTGCGAATGGTATTAATTTCACAATCAGAAAGGTGAATCTTATGTTTGTGTTCATTGTAGTTGTATGGATATTCTTTTTTAATAAATACCTGATCCAAAATCCCGTGTTTTTTGTGTATAATGTTATTATAGTGAAGTAAATGGTTTGAACCCAGGAGTATCAGTAGTTCGTGTAGTGTGATCGTCCGGGTGAGTGTAGTTCTGAAAAGAACTGTTGTTGGTGACTGACGTTTCGACTATCTGTGCGATAGTCATCTTCAGAGTCAAGTGAGGAATAGTTGTCAGTCGATGATGTTAAGACTGGTAGAAACCTTAACACGCGACTAACTGAACACAAACGAGCAACTAGAAATGGCGATGTAAACAATCACATTTCTGAACATCACCGACAAACTAATCACAGAATCGACTGGGACTCTGCTAAATGCTTAACCTACAGTACAAACTATTTTCAACGACTGACTCTGGAAAGCTGGTTCACTAACTTAGAACAGACGCCTCTCAACAGATGTCAACAATTACCAGCACCTTACAAACGACTCATTAACGACGTGAACGAACCGACAAACAGACCGACAAACAACAGACGGATCGAAACCGACCAATGACTACAAACTCTACACGAGTCTTCCAGCCAATCACATCACGGCTAAACAGACCAATCACGTTCAACAGACCAGACTTTATAACATCATCGACTGACAACTACTCCTCACTTGACTCTGAAGATGACTATCGCACTGATAGTCGAAACGTCAGTCACCAACAACAGTTCTTTTCAGAACTACACTCACCCGGACGATCACACTACACGAACTACTAATGTTATTATGTTAAGTATTGTTTACGCAATTGTCTTGCCACAGGCAGCCCAAGCTCACGTCTCGAGAAAAAGCCAACGATTAATTCATGAACGCGTCACGCGTTGTGTGACTCGGTGTTAAGTTACGAGAGGAACCGTTGGTCGATTTACTACGATAAATATTTCAAAACATGAACACTTTTCTCGTAAAATCAATAAAACTTACTTATACCCTATGTATTCGTTGTAGTTTCTGGCGATTTCTGCCGTTTTAAACTTGCTTTACCATCACTGCTATTCACGTCATCTATTTTTATTTCGTTGGTAAAATCTGCACAGACATCACACCAACCAATTCGCACACAAAGTAAGAAGACTATATTGAAGGCCTGAAATTATATTACGATCGATTTTCATCAAGAAATGGGCCAGGAATTTTCCACAATAGTGCAAATAATCGTGAACGCTGATCGCGGAAAAGCGATTGCGTGACGCTCGGTAAGCTGTAAGATGACATGTTATTATATACCAGACGTAAAAACTCTTCAGATTCTCAGTCTGCAATTTGTACCCACTCTGCAGTCTGCAGTCTATATTTTGTATCCAGTCTGCAGTCTGCTGTCTACATTTTGTACTAACAGGTATCCGTGGCACTAATACATTTTATTTTTGGTTACATTTATTCGCACAACACACATAATCTACCACAAAATACCTGTGTGTGAGGTAATTCGACATTTTCATTCTTTTCCGCGTTAATACTCTTCTTTCGTTTTGTAAGAATGTAGACCACTTACAATGTTTCAAGTAATTCACCCACCTTACAAAAAATTACCCTTGCATCCACAAGTTGACCACAGGCGCCCTTTGATTCGGTTCATTGCATTTGATCATGCAATATGGAGCATTCAGATCGATCAGTTTGCGAACTAAGGCTTCCAACGTGCCTTTAGCGCCGGCAACGGAAGAAGTTCAAGGATCTGTGGATTGTGTCGCGTTTTTCTTAACTGACTGATGAAATGATGCGCAACTCTCTTGATCACCTCATTATCAATCAAATGCTGTTTTACAGTTAACTGTAGGTAGTTTTTAATGGTATATTAAATCTTTATATATTAAGATGACTTGTATACACATTTGTTTAATTATTTCTTATTTATGATCTAATGGCCTTAACCAAAATTGAAATAGATTGAGATTGAGTCAGCGATGTCCATGTTTACGTTAAGTCTGACGCGGTAATTTGATTTAGACAATATTGTCATGTGAGCACCCGTCAAACATCTGAGAATCAAATTACGGACCGCGAATGTGTGGTGCAAACAAACTCACGGGTAAAATGGAGTAGGTTCGAATTCTACAGCGGGATGAGTGAATTTAATTGTTTGGCTGTCGTACTTTTCAGCGCTATGTTTTCATGCTTTCTACTCGATTCGTTCGAACTTCAGGAAATGGTTTGTCTCACAAAACATGGAACCACTTTCTCTTCGCTGAACATCTCGAGGCGTTATGATGAACATGCTTGCGATACGATATTTTTTTCCTTATCCTGAAACTGAAGAATTAATCTCTAAAATTAGTAGTCATCACATTTTGCAAGAAGCGTCCGAGCTGTGATCGAGCAATTAAACGGGGTTCTGGCAATTTGACCTCACAAGCGCGCTGGTAAGCACATGGTTAGCGTAAATAATTGTTGTTTACAGTTTTCGAATTCAAGAGCAGTTTTTGAGAGTCTGTTTCTGTAACCTTCCTGGATATTTTCTGTTAAATTCGTCGAGGTTCAGTCTCGGAATTTCATAAGCGATTATGAATGATAGATTCGTATCAACACATTAACAGTTTACAATTCGCGAACCATTTCTGTAACTTGCTTGGATATTCTCTTTTGAAGTAATCGAGTCACACCCTCGGAATTTCATTAGTAATTAAGAAGGACAAATCCGTATATATAGCACAAGTGAAGCACATTTTAAACTTTCATACGATTGTAGAAAACTATAATTAATTAACTCTTGATAAATAGGCCTGACATAACTCGTTGATTATTTTATTATTTTGTAGCCCCAAAAACCTGGCTTGTGACTCTGGAGGTACTGAACTTGATTTATTTGATACACAAGGCACCTTCAAGAAGGAAGGTTAGATTAAAATTGCTTTTATGACCATATATTGCACTCGATTTACATATTTAGATAATTACTTAAAAAACACCGATTATAGCTGTATTCAGAAGCATAGACATGTGAGCAATATGCTTCTGCTTTATTTTAACAAAATCTCAATCACTGGCTTTTAGAAAAGAGTGAAATGATAAATCTTCTCATGCTGATTCCAAAAAAGACATTCAATGTTTTAAGTTCATGTTGTCCTTTTGACTTTGCCCTTTGGCGACCTGGTGTACATAAATTGGTAACCATACTGAAAGTTAAAGTAAGTCGTCCATATCAGATTCAAATGCACTGTCTTCTGACGAGAATGTGAGATCAAGTTCCTTTGCAAGTTGTTCAACTTCCTCTTCCTGCCCTAGGGTGGAAGGTACGAGACAATTAAGTTCCCCTTGGTTAGAACTTGGCAGTTCTTGTATTTCTTCTTCTTGTGTGCCGCCGGCTCCTCCTTCTCCTTCCTCCAATTTCTGCTCTTCTTGTGCATTTGGCATGGCCCTTTCATTTTGTGGAAGACGAGAAGACCGTGGCAGTTTTCTTCTGTGCTTCTTTTCCTTCCATAACGCCACTGCCTTGTTAATCACAGCTGCAGACTTTCGGGCATCTCTTTCTTCAGGGAATTTTTAAGGCGTGTTTTTAGGCGCTTTAGGACACTGGCCCCCCTCTCCGGCCATGCATTTGAAACAGGCATAGAGAGGCAGATTTCTGCGACTTGTAACAGCAAGGGATAACTTCTACGGTAGGATTCTTTGTGCCTTAGGAACCTCTGTAGGGTCCATTCTGTGGAAGTTGTAGAAGGCGAAGGAATAGCCTGATGGTCCTTACTCCAGTCAGCCAGCTCATACTTGAAGTTGTTCCATTCAGCTTCCAGTTTAAGGCGCTTGCTGATGTTCTCATCTCTACTAAGAAAGTTATTTGCAAGAGTTTGGATATGGTTTTGTCCATATCTTACAAACTCGGGGTTTGTAATAGGCACGGAAAGTGGATCGAAGATACGGAAAGATGAAACGACTGGCAAAGAGTGCTGGAAGCGTTGGTCTATATTGTCTGTCAAGGCTGTCACATATTGGGAGCATAGGTCGTGCATCTTTGCCTCTGTTGCTTTAATCTTGTCTTCACTGAACTCTAGGCAAGCAAGTTTTCCAGTTGTTGTCTCCTATCGGAACTTTTTAACAGTGATGTTTTCTTGAAGCCTGTCAAGCGAATCTTTAGATGCTTTGATGGCAGGAGAAATACGAGAAAAAGATATGAAGCCCTTTTGAAACACCTTACTAAGAGTCAAGAGCACAGGCAGAACACCTTTTAAGATATACAGAACACCAATGAAATCAGGTTTCTTTAACTTCTTAAGGAGGCCTATAGCTGTAGGGTTAGAGTCCTTGTTCTGGTACCATCGCAAGGTCTGAAGAAGGGCTGGAAAGTTTCGACATACACTCTCTACAGACTTATCCAGAGATAGCCACCTTGTTATGCAGGCTTTCTGTTCCTTTGTTGCGAGTTTTTATTTGCTCTTTTCAGACATGCTTTCAAGTTCCTTCATCTCAGAGGTAATTTGCACGTAAACTGCTGACCTTGCTGCAGAGTTTTCAAAAAAACTCCACAGCTGCTGAAGGACAGTTTCTACTTGCGATATTGAGGCCAGGCTGTCATTTGCATCATTGCAAGCAAGAGCGAGGCGATGGCAGATACAGTGGATGTTAATGAGGGTTGGGACTGTTTCCCTCAGCTTGGCTGCCACCCCATTGCGAGAGCCTGTCATGGCACTTGCCCCATCACTGGCTGGACTGCTAGGCTTGTTGATATCCAAACCATCTTTTGACAATTCTTCTCTGATTAGTTTCACAATGGTCGCTGCATTCGCTGATGTTGAGTTTTCCAGGACATCCTGAATGGACAGGAAATGGACCTCTGGTACACCCGTCTCTGGGTTAGCAAACTGTATAAAAGATATCAGCTGCTCTACCACGGAAACATCGGTGGCTTCATCCACCATCAGGCCGTAGCTGTTTGCGTTCTTTACCTTCTTTACTATTTCATCCTTCAAAGCTTGGCCCAGCAGCAAAAACAATTCTCGTTGTGAATCCTGAGATCTGTGATCAAAACGACGTATTTCGGGAACGCCAAGAATCTCCTCTAGTTCCAACAAAGATGTGAACTTGCGATTAGCAATTTCTTCTCTGGCCAACCAATATGCTGACAGGAAAGCATGGTGCAACACTGAATCTTTTGTCTGTAGCTGGGTTTCGAACTCTTCATGAAAGTACGATATTCGTTTATTGTGCTCCCTCTGGATGGCCGTCTCATGTTGTTGTGAGCCACTGTATCCATCTTTTCCAACCAGTGCACTCTTTTTAAATCTTACAGCAGGGACCTGGTTAAACTTCTTTTGTTGATTAAATGGATTTTCAAAATCGTGCATTCTACACAACAAGCAAAACATACCATTCCCCTCTTCATATACCAGCCACCACAAACCGGTTTTCTCACAATATCCGACTTGTCTATCAAGAATCCACTCATGCTTAAAACGACCATCACATAATTTCTTACAACCTTCTTTGCATTTATAAAAATAGTGAAGTCCTGGTGACTCTTTAAAATACTGGCTTATTAGCTCAATTGCACGAGAAGTAGGGAGAGGTTTGGTTGAATGATGTTTTGGATTAATTTTGGTGTCCACAGGGGCGCCTGCTGAAGAAAAATAATAAGCCATGGTTATTCTTGTTATATTTTGTACCACCTTATGCGCTGGAGCAAACTAGTACTCAAGAAATGATTCATATCAACTGCAACATGAGCTTCACCACTATGAAGTGTACTTTCATTACATCCTCCTTCATTCCAACACAAAGGAATTATTAAAGATAGTTAAGATTTCCTGTTTTTAACCAACAGTCCTGTGACTGAAACTCTCTCACACCAAAAAACACTACTGTGCCTTCGTACGCCAACGAACCAACAGGTATACTTGTAAGCTTAACAGAACCCTCGCTGTCTGTCAATAAGGAAATACTGCAAGTCCAAAGGTTGTCTCTCACAGAACTAAGCAGCTTGGCACTTGATTTTGTTTCAATATTTCTAGTAAAAGGAGCCAACAAAGTTAATTAAAGGGTTTAATTAAGCGCTACCACAAGTACATTACTGGTGATTGCTCTACTGCGTAAGAGCCCGGTTCAAAGAAATCTGTAAGTGTGCTTATGCAGATCATGATTTGAAGCGTTAAAATCACAGAAATACAAAGGTTTTACATTATGCATGCAATACATGCGAAAATGAATAAAGGTCCTTACCTTTGCTTTGCTCACTCGAAGGAGAGTGAAAAAACTTGCTCAGCAATGTCCGCCTCGGTTTCTTTGGACAAGCGACTAAATACAGGAATGGCTCCGACCTGTGATTGGATGATAAAAATAGTAAAAGTTAATAAGTTATAGCTTAACTCCTTGCTCGTGAGTATTGTTTACCGCGTGTCTCGAAGCGGGACAATGAAATATCAATGCTGAAAACACCGATGTGTCAAACAAGAAATGGTTACTTACGTAGCGAAGGGAAGGCAGCCTTTTTTGTTCAGCGAGGTCGTTCAGCGATATTCCGGCGATGAAAAAGTAATCTGCTGACTTAACTCATTTTGTCAGTTCAGGCGGACGATCAGAGACTGGAGCCATTCCTGTATTTCACCGCTGACAGGAATAGCTACGACTCAAACGTTTATTAATTTTTTTTTCAACAATTTTTTTTAAAAAAATTTTCAACAATTTTTTTAAAAAAATTTTTAAAAATTTTAAACTAAACTAGTGAGCAGCGCTGTGCGAACAGTAGTTGTAAAACTTCTTTATTCTCTGACGCGTTTCGTCTAACTGTCGTAAACTTCTTCAGGGAGTTTTACAAGTCAATACCAAATGCCTATATTTATAAGCCATTGATAGTGGCCATTGCGTGGGCCAATGACCATAAGGGCTTGGCTGGACTTACGAGCAGGAATAGGCAAAGATGTGAAAAAATTTGAAAATTTCTTCTGAAAATTTTTTAGGCAAGGTGAGAAATATTTTTGGGAGCCACAGTTTTAGCTAAAAATTTTCAAATTTGAAAAATTGCGGTTTTTTACAGACGATGCCTAGAAAGTAGTTGGCAAATTAGGTTAGGATGGCTCGTATACTTTACAGAAAATGTGGTTTATGTTCTACTCATTCTTTCTTAAATTTAAATGGTATAAATACCTTGTCTAAAACAGTAGTGTGATATAATAGCAAACGAGATATACCCGTTCCAATACAGCGTCATGTGATGAACAGCCTTCATTAATTTTAGAACAAGTTTTATAAAATCATTTTACTCTTTCTTGTTATGCCCGAAAACTGTTCGAAGATTGGTTGTACCATCACTGCAAACAGTCAAGGTACTTCGACATGATTCAGTGCGAGAGCTACTGCAACTGGCTTGACTGGTAAGACGTTTTTTTGGTTTGGTTTTTTTTTTTAGGTCTAGTGGAGTTGTTAGAAATTACCAAGCAAAATTAATCCGCGACTTTCTTCCTTTAGGTGTTGTGCAAAAAAAGATGAAGAGCCCGATGAATGGATTTGTCCTTCATGTGAACAATACCCTAGAAAATCAGTTTTCCACGAAAAAAAACTCCTTCGATTGCGACCAAGCCTTATTTCTCCAGCAGAGCATGCTGTAAATTAAAGACATTGGTCGCAGCGTCACGCAACATTGCGTGATTTTCCAAACGTGACATGCAGTTGCTGCATTATTTTAAAACTTGGAAACTACATGGCCTTGTACTAATAAAAGAGGGCTTCATTTGCAAGCACTGTAGACTACAACATAAGAAGAACCTAATAAATCGCTTTTTCAGTTTTTATCTCAGTGTATAAATTATTTAGCCAGAACGAAAAAAAAATTAATATACGCATGAGTTGGAGCCATTCCTGTCTGCGGTGAAATACACGAATGGCTCCAGTCTCTGGTCGTCCGCCTAAACTGACTAAATGAGTTTGTCGGCGGAACTTGTCAGCGGATGACTTTTTCATCGGCGGAATATCACTGAACGACCTCGCTGAACAAGATAGACTCTGCCTTCTCTTCGTTATGTAAGTAGCCATTTCTTGTTTGACTCATCGGTGTTTTTACATTGGTATTTCATTGTTCCGCTTCGAGACAGGCGGTGAACAATACTCACGAGCAACGAGTTAAGATATAACTTATTGACTTTTACAATTTTTATTATCCAATCACAGGTCGGAGTCATTCCTGTATTTAGTCGCTAGTGTTTCTTTGGCGCAGACGCCATTTTGGCACATGCGAAAGCCTGGGATCTAGTCCTGTGAAAATGTTCCAGGCGTTCCACGACCCTTCGATCCCCTCGATCTGCTTCAACTTTTTATACTTCCGCCGAAAGGTTAACACGTTTAAAACTTCTGAAATGTGCCTTTACTTAGACTCAGACGTTTGAGCCAGATGTTTTACAATTATTTTTGCGGGATCTTTTCATTATTTTAAGCCGGTTTCTTACTGGATCCTGTTCTGTGAATATGTCGCAAGCGTTCCACGACCCTCTATTCTCATGACCTTAATGTGTAACTCAGGGGTGGTATTGAAAGGAGAAATTAGATGCTAGTCACTCTCAGGGATTAAAGTGTTATTAACTGTACACATTTTCATGTATATGCTCCTTGCATTTGTTGGCAACAATAGCTAAGATTGTTAGGAAAGCAAACAAACAAGTGAACAGAAGACAGTGAAATGAGGGAAACTGTAAACTTTACCATGTGATAGAAAAAACATCACAGAATACTTAAGAGGGGAAACTTGAATTGTGCTAGCTAATTTCCTCTATTGCTGTTCATGTTTTTGATCAAATAAAATTTAACCCTTTAACTCCCAGTTCAAATTTGTAATTCTCCTTACTGTCAACTATACAATTCTTATAATATTAGTTCTAAGAATTTAATATTGGATCAACTAATTATCCCCAAATTTATTCTCATCACTTATCTGATTGGTATTGTATTGATATTGTTAGGAGAAATTCTGCCTTGGTCACTCATGGGAGTTAAAGGGTTAATCAGTTGTAAGGTTTGCCTAAAATGTGTCAAATTGCCAGTGTAGACTTTATTCTTCTCAGATGTCTGTTGGTAAAAGATAGATAGATACTTAAAATAGCTGTCCATAAGAAAAAGTAAACATCATTAAAAAATCACACTGAGGTGGTGTGATTGATTTGTGATATTTAGAATGACAGAAGCAGGAAAAACACATTGAGCTTTTTCCTATTCACCAGTAAGTTAATTATATTTTGGATTCTACATTCAAACTGGGTGAGATTAAATTTATACATATCACGCTTCTTTAGGTTTGTTTACCTGGAAAGGTAATTGTTATTAGAGCTTCACAGATGTGTTAGCTGCAATCACAATTAACATTCATAACAAAGTTTCATTTAACATAGAATGTATCAAGAACTCTCTTCCTTTCTCTTCAATACCATTTACTATTCCTGGAGCACAATTAAAGGTAGCAGGTTATTAAGAGAGGTTGTCAGTAATTTTCGAGAATCCGGCGACAGAAGCAAAAATTCAACTTTTTTTTTATTTGCTCCAAAAGACCCTTTTGGTGAATCGTTTTCAAAAATGATATTCAAAAGTTCCAGCGAGTTTTTATTTTGGAAAAAAATACGAAAGTTCGAAATCGGCCAAAACGTACCTAATTTGCATAATTTCTATTGGGCTTTTAGTGCATTTTCACAACGTTCGTACAAGACAGCGAAAAATTATCTTGGATTAATTTTTTCATAAGTTATTTTTCATCCCTCGGAGTACCTTTGCAACTATATTTCATCTCGAACTGAACTTTCTTTCGTTTGTAACCACCCGCGTGAAGTACACTATATTTTCTATTCCGTTTGTACGCTGAATTTTGCTATATTTCAGACGACCATAACATCGGGGGTATACTAATGTACATAAAATGAAAGAACTCTTTTCAACGAGAAATTCTTCATGTTTATCATGTAAAAATATTATTTTTGGACCGTGAAAAGCGAGCGCGCCACACCAAAATATATAGCGTGCATTTTCACGGAGTTAGGCCATTTTTCTTGCTGTACTCCTACTGCAAATCGCGCGCTATTGGGACAAAACTCGACGTGTTTGGTCTCTTCTTCAGTTTTGTTTCATTTAAATATATCAATTTTAACTTAAAAATTAACCTACCTTTATTGTTAAGTGAACAAGCCACCGTTTTAGGTAAAGTTTTTGAGTTGACTTTTCTCGAGTGCTAAATAAACAAATCGCTGTTTACAAAGATACCAGCTCTGTCGACGTGTTTTTAGCTGAAAAATCGATGGGAAAATCGTAGCGTTTCTTTCTCCTGTCGTTTATTACTTTAAAGATTTGCTAAAATCAGGAAATAGGGCACTTGTACAAAACCAAAACATTCATTAGTCTACAATGTGATTGTTTATTATCATTATCGCACAGTTCACAATAAGGAAACTGTAACAGGAGAGGAGATTTTAAATTCACATGCCGCGTGCTTGTTGACGTACAAGTTCCCGAGTGTAACAATTTCGGCTTTTGGGGAAACTCTACCCCCCTTATTTGATAGGAAATATCAATAGCCCCATAAAATTCATTAACTGCGCCATGTTTCAAGAAAATAAGACTGGAAAATGGTTTTTCCACTTTCCACCATCAAGAAATTCTACGTAGGAATAGTATTTGTAGCGTGACTGTGTGACCTTTCATGAGAAGTAAAAAATTGTTTTTCTTTTTTTTAAGAAGACACCTCCAGAAGTTCTTTATCCTTCTGTCATCTTATTTGCCTGTTTTTTGACTGCAAATATCATCTGCATTTGCCATTATTTTCGCTGATTGTCATGGCCTTTCCTGCGTGCACGTGCGAGCAAGTTCATATACAGCACTCTTTTGAATTTCTTTGCGTGGTGTCGGGCATAAGTGTGTAGGTCTGGCTCAAAAGATATCTGCGCGCTGCAACACGGGTTTCTATGTTTTCTCCTTTTTCTATATTTGTATTTTTATTCTCCTCCTTGCATTATCACACATTTATGTTTTTTTTTATTCCCTCGGCGCGTTCCCTCAGATTTGGAAGTAGGCTATGAAAAGTCGATATTGACCAGAACTGAAACCATTTCTATCACTATTTGTTTCAAAGAACCCCTGTTATTTATAACTTAATTTCTCAAGAGAATATGTTTTTATTTGCCATTTACTTCCATTAGTACATGAAACTAGGTCCCGACAAGTTTTTTTTTTTCGTGATTCCAAAAAGCTGTTTGCGACAACATCAGTTGAGAAATCAAAAGCAATTACACCTGAGAAATTCGCTTGTAGCCTTCTACGCGCAGAAGGAAAATCCAAGTAATGAAGCTTTCTAAAGCCTCTGTAAACTAGAGACATTACGTGACGTCGAGGGATCAGATATTTACTCAAAATCTGTGACCCTCAAACAGATTACGTACTCGTACATGTAACGTCCGAAAAATGTCACGCATGTATAACACCGTAGGCGCACCTGGCGAATTATATCCATTGGCTTCAGTAGTAAAGAGACAACTTATTTACTATTTGTATATGAGTAAGCTTATTTACCCTACTTGTAAAACTCCTTGATGAAGTCTACTATTGTCAGACGAAATGCGTGGGAGATAAATATAAGTTTTTACTTTCTCAGTTCGTGTAGTGAGTTCGACAGAAAAATTAAGCTCACCCTGTCATAATCAATGATTTGATACCGTAAGTACCAATTTAGGTACATCATTGGGCTTTGATCACAATAATGAAAAAAATGCGCGTTTCCCCACGCTCGTCACATTTATTCTTTGGAAAATTATTTTACTGGAGGGTGATGTCACTTCGCTTGGTGCGTCTTGACTCTGGCCGACGAAAATTTTCGAGGTGAACCCCATGAATTCTTGTCAAAAGTTTTATAAACTTTGTCTACCCTTGATTTGCACGCAATGAAAGGAAGGCAAATTCCGAACGATATTTCAAAATATTTTATTCACTGGTCAATTTATGACCTGTTTTATAACCCGAGGAAAAAGCAAAATTGTTTGTAAGGAGTTTTTAAGTTCATTTTTCCCAGTAAATTTAAGAGAGGGTCAATTTTTTGTGACAGCCAAAGATAGACATCTCTGAAAAGTCTCTGAAACTCTTAAAGAATTTACACTGCCGGTAATATTTTCCTCCTTCTCGCAACAGCGCAACAGACATTGCTAATCCTATGTAGTGTAGGCGTATCACTTGTATTACGTCTTCATAGTGATGCCGTATAAGAAATCGAGTGTCTAAAAAGTTCTCAATTCTCGCGCTGGCCAGGGACGGCAACAGCTCACACCTCTAAACTCGTGGGTGTACAGCATAAAAAAAAAAAAAAAAGCATTTGAGAGACGTCAATGTATCCCAAACATGCGTTTCGTCCGAGAAGAAGCTTATTCTAGCGCGTATTGGCTTATTTGGAGATTACGAAGGCCGCAATTTCACGATATATCTCAAATATAGTGCACAACTTGGTATGAGATTCAGACCTTCGGGTTTGTAAATGCCAGTATACTCTTCATAAAAATCGGAGACGTAAAGTTGGGAGAGAGGTGAATCTGAAGATGGCAGAAGAAATCAAAGCTGGTGTCGAGTCTTCCTGGTGGCAAGGTGACTGTAAACCTAATAGAACGCGTACTGTAACAGCTATCTTAGAGTCAGCAATGATAGGGAAGAAGGGCAAGAAGAGCGCTTATCTGAAAATCAGTTTTCCTAACTAATGATTTGTGACTGAAATGAACTTTATATCATATGATTCCTAGGGATACGCAGGTACTGCAGAGACGCTCACATATATAGAGGTGGGCGACCCTCCCTCTGACTTTAAAACTGCGACAAGTTTATAGCGCAGACCAACTGGCACAGTTTGGAGCACCTCAAGGTCTCACTAGGCTCATCGCATTAGAAACCTTCAGCAAACTAATCGTAGAAGTGGGTGGTTATCAGCAACGTGCACAGATCTCTGAACGCGGGTCATCGCGAGAACTATATCCAATCCGTCACAGACAGAACAAGAGCGAGATATTCTTGATAAGAGGAAGGATGTATCAAGACGTTTCAGTCATTGGCTGCCATCCAAAAGCACCCTAACAAAGGCAAACACAGTGAAGCTGACAAAAAAATCCGCCTATGATAAGATCAAGAGAAAATGGACGAAGACCGGCTTGCCATTTTAAAGGGGGCGGCTACGTTCAAGGTCGGACCTCAGGTAAACTTCTGACGAAATATCCCT